AAGAGGAAGAGGAAGAGGAAGGGGAAGGGGAAGGGGAAGGGGAAGGGGAAGGGGAAGAACAACAACATACTCTGGAGTAGGCTTGTTTGATCAAGAAAAAAATTGGTTCTAAACTCGCTTCGTTTCCAGGGGGCGCCAGCGTTTCGAATTTCTGAGGACTTCCGAAATTTAAGATTTCGAAATTTCGAAATTTACGAAATTTCGTTAATTACGAATCGATTCGTTAATGACGGAGGCGATTGCGCAATGCGCTAAAAACACCTCCAAACGGGACGGGGGGACTTCCGAAATTCAGGATGAAATTAAAATACATTAAGTTAGTAAAAATACAAATTAAAATCACTTAAAATTAATTAAATGATAAAATAATAAAACAATAAAACAATAAAATAAAATAAAATAATAAAATAAGTAATAAGATAATAAAGTATCTCCAGGAGGAGGAGGAGGAGGAGGATGGGGAGGAAAGGCAACGCTGGCACCTTTTCTCTCCTTCTTTCCCGTCTTAATAATTACGAAATAATTACGAAATAATTACAAAAATTTGGAGAAATTGTTTCGATTCTTAATTACTCTTCACACTATTCCTGCATGGCTCGATATTGGATCGTAAGCTAATTGAAATACGAATTAATAACGACTTTAGAAACTAACGAACACGATCAAACAAGCCTACTCTGGAGACCAGGATAAAGCAGGAAATAATAATAATAATAATAATAATAATAATAATAATAATAATTTCTAGAGACCATGATAAATCAAGGAGGAGGAGGAGGAGGAGGAAGACAACGACGACAACAACAGGATAATAATAATAATAATAATAATAATAATAATAATAATAATAATTTCTAGAGACTGATAAATTGAGGAGGAGGAAGATAATAATAATAATAATAATAATAATAATAATAATAATCCTTTATTTATACCCCGCTACCATCTCCCAAAGGACTCGGTGTGGTTTACAAGAGACCGAGCCCAAATACATCAGGAAAACACAACAACAGTACAATAATAATAATAATAATAAAAAACTCATAAACAAAGCAAAAAACATAAACAATAACACATTAAAACCTGTGGCAGGGTCAAATGTTGTACTTAAAATCTTTAAAGATGACGACAATGACAACAACAGAAGCAGGAAATAATAATAATAATAATAATAATAATTTCTAGAGACCATGATAAATCGAGGAGGAGGAAGACGACGACGACGACAACAACAACAACAACAGGATAAAGCAGGAACTAATAATAATAATAATAATAATAATAATAATAATTTCTAGAGACCATGATAAATTGAGGAGGAGAAGGAGGAAGATGATGATGACGACGGCAACAACAACAACAGGATAAAGGAGGAAATAATAATAATAATAGTAATAATAATAAAAAATAATTTCTAGAGACCATGATAAATTGAGGAGGAGGAGGTGGAGGAAGACGATGATGATGATAACAACAACAACAGGATAATGCAGGAAATAATGGTAATAATAATAATAATAATAATAATAATAGTAGTAGTAGTAGTAGTAGTAATTTCTAGAGACCATGATAAATTGAGGAGGAGGAAGACGATGATGATGATAACAACAACAACAGGATAATGCAGGAAATAATAATAATAATAATAATTTATAGAGACCATGATAAAGGTGTCTCTATAAAGGAGGAGGAGGAGGAGGAGAAGGAAGACGATGATGACAACAACAACAACAATAACAACAACAACAACAACAACAACAGGATAAAGCAGGAAATAATAATAACGATCCCCTCGACCGACCGGCCGTGTTACCTCGTTGCTTTTCTTCTTGAAGACGCACTCCTCCTTCTTGCTGGCGGGGGGGCTCCATGGGATCTAAGGGCACGTTTTCCAAAAAAGGGACATTAAGTGATTTTAAATGTAATGTATCACATATGTATATTGTAAACCCCTCCGAGCCTTCGGGGAGTGGCGGGATATAAAATTGATAAATAAATAAACAAACAAACAAACAAACAAATAAAAATTTACTATTATGGCCCCAGGATGCAAACACCACCATCACCACCACCACCAATAATAATAATAATACACAATATAAAAAATATTATAAAAAGAATACTAATATTATAATACATCATAAATAGGTAGAGAAGGAAGCAAGGGGAAAAAGAGGAAGGGAAAGAAAAGAGGGGGGGAGAGGAAGGGAAGAGGAAGAGAAGGAAGGAAGGAAGGAAAGAAATAAAGGGAAGGAAGGAGAGAAAGAAGGAGCGAAGTTATATTATAAATAATAGTGATAATAATATTAATAGGGTGCCCCCCCCCACTCCGGCCCAGTGCTGACCTCTCCCTTGACCCGTATGTCTCCCGGCCGTGTGATGTCGAGGGCCAAGATGGCGTCCCGTGCCCCGACAAAGAGGGTGTCCCCGTCCGGGCTCAGGAGGAAGACGTCGTAGTTCTGGACCCCGCTGTGGCTGAAGGAGGAGACCAGGCGGCGGGGGTCCCCTGAAAGAGACACCCACACACAGTCAGAGTGTTAGAGGGGCCCTGGGCCCTGTGGGGAGCCATTTTGAGGAGGGGGGCAGGGCCAAAGGAGGTGGCCTCGCGACCCCTCCAAAATGGCCAAGCGACCCCCCTGGGGGTCGTGACCCCCAGGTTGAGAACCACTGATATAGACAGTGTTCTCTTGCTACTTCGTGATTCGCTTATTGTGGACTCACTGTTTCGCGGATTTTGACAAATATTAATTTAAAATCTATATCGCGGTATTTTTGCTGTTTTGCGGGTTTTTGCCGCCGCTATCGCCACTCTCGGAGGCGATTTCCCCCCTCCTTCCCGCCTTGAAAGGCCTTTCCTTCCTTTCCTACACCTTATTTTAAGTTTATAAAGACTTTCAATAGTGTATAACTACTAAAATAATGTATAAATATTGAAATAAATAGAGCGTCCCTACATCGTGGTGTTTCACTTATTGTGGGAGGTCATGGAATGTAACCCCAGCAATAAGTGAGGGAATGCTGTATATATATATATATATATATATATATATATATATATATACCTACCCACACATATATACACATACTAATACAAATACTATCATATACACACACACACAAATACTATATATATTTGTATGTATATGTATACACACTAATACTATCCTATAATATATATAAATACTAATACTAATACTATCACATATAGATATATACACACACACTAATACTAAATATATCTGTATGTATACGTATACACACTAATACTATCCTATAATATGTATACATACTAATACTAATACTATCATATATATACACACACACTAATACTATATATATCTGCATGTATGTATATACACACTAATACTATCCTATAATATATATAAATACTAATACTAATACTATCACATATAGATATATACACACACACTAATACTATATATATCAGTATGTATACGTATACACACTAATACTATCCTATAATATGTATACATACTAATACTAATACTATCACATATAGATATATACACACACACTAATACTATATATATCTGTATGTATACGTATACACACTAATACTATCCTATAATATATATAAATACTAATACTAATACTATCACATATAGATATATACACACACACTAATACTATATATATCAGTATGTATACGTATACACACTAATACTATCCTATAATATGTATACATACTAATACTAATACTATCACATATAGATATATACACACACACTAATACTATATATATCTGTATGTATACGTATACACACTAATACTATCCTATAATATGTATACATACTAATACTAATACTATCACATATAGATATATACACACACACTAATACTATATATATCTGTATGTATACGTATACACACTAATACTATCCTATAATATGTATACATACTAATACTAATACTATCACATATAGATATATACACACACACTAATACTATATATATCTGTATGTATACGTATACACACTAATACTATCCTATAATATATATAAATACTAATACTAATACTATCACATATAGATATATACACACACACTAATACTATATATATCTGTATGTATACGTATACACACTAATACTATCCTATAATATATATAAATACTAATACTAATACTATCCTATAATATGTATACATACTAATACTATATATATTTGTATGTATTTGTATACACACTAATACTATCCTATAATATGTAATATAATACAAATAATATATAATATAAAAACAATACTAATATATCAGATTTCTCTCACATACTGTTGTCTTGCTCCTGTTCTTAACTAGGAGTCGTGTGAAAGTCAGAGGTCTGTAACTTGGGTACAGCATATATATCTATCTATACATATGAGATACATACAGTATCCTCAGTTTGGAAGGGGCCCCCAAAGGCCATCCAATCCACCTCTGTTCTTAACTGTGAGTCCTTTGTAAGTTGGATGTTTGTCACTCAGGGACAGCCTCTATCTATATCTCTATATTATTGAGATATGTAGCATGGCAGAATTGGAAGGGACCCCCAAAGGACATCCAGTCCAGCCCCGTTCTTAACTGTGAGTCATTGGATGTTTGTAACTCAGGCACGGTCTGTATATGTATATGTACACACGCACGGATCCATGCCATGGCTTTAATCTGGAGAGTGTCTTCTCCTTCTTGCAAAAGAGGAACCGTGGTGAGAGCGGGGCCCAAGGGGCCCTCCTGCCTTCTGCAAAGGTGGCCCAGGTCCCTTTTTGGGAGCCACGCGGAGGTGGCACTTCCTCTTCTGCAAAGGCCGCTTCCTGTTTCCTCCTCCTCCTCCCACTTTGTGGCTGGGCTCAGGTTGAGTCAACCACCCTTGCGAGGCGGGCACCCAGGGGCGTGTGTGCGTCCCGTGCTTGAGAGGGAGATCTTGGGCAGGGCTGGATGGCCTTGGGGGACCCCACCCAACCATCCTGGGAACACCTCTATCTATCCCATCTAGCTGTCCATC